ACATATGTATATATATATACATATATATATATATTTAATTTCAGGAAATGGAGCAGGTTTTACAAAGCTTTTTGAACGACTTATACGGGGAGTATGGACTCCAACTGCTATGGAATTTATGCAACCTAGTTTGTACGTTCATTTTATTTCTTTTTCATAAAGTGAAATTGAAATAAATATATTAAATTTTATCATTTAGCCCTACAAAAGCATCAATGGTTGCATCCATTATTTTCGTCCTAGACAAAAAGACTGATCTTATTTCGGCACCTCACGCACTGGTTTATTTTGGTATCGTTATTTTCTTCGTGTATTTCAAGGTAACAATCATTTTTTTAAATAAAATATAATTTTTAATATCTTTACAGTTAAGAGCAATTATTATTTATTTCATTTTAGCTATCATCCATTCTACTTGGAATCCATGATCCGTTTGTACCATTTGAAAATCTATTCTGTGCGTTATTCCTCGGAGGAATTTGGGATTCGTTAGCCAAATTGCTGGGCCGAGGCCAAGCTAAAGATGAGAAAACAGATGCCAAAAAAAAGGATTAAATGTTTGTAAACTTCATTATGTAATATTAGATAGTATTACTTATAATTTTACTATTATATAATTTCAACTTATTTAAAATTTATCAAATTTATGTAATGTAATATTTAAAATAATTTCTTTTATTTTTTTTTTATAGATACAATTTCTCCAAAATGGATTTTAATATTTGCAATGATTTGATTCACTGAGAATCAATAAATGATATTAATTTAAATTAGTCAGACTCATATTCTCATGTTTTAAAATATGACCATGGACAAATTATTAAATATTGAAAGTACAATAATTTATTATCAAATATATTTTAATAATTATAAGTGATATATGTTGAGGAGTATGACTTCCATTGTTAATAATATCAACAGTATTATTTCTGTTGAGAGTAATATAAAACTTGTTAACAATTATCTTTTTATAATTAATTAAATTTTAACAAATTAATATTATGTAACGAATAAATTCGTTATTTCTTATAAAAATATAAAATTATTTATATAAAAATATTATAAAAATTAAAAATTTCTTGTTGATTTTTTAATAGTATGTACATATATACTGAATGTTTACTCTATTAGTCAACGTTTTTTTCTCAAGCGATAAATTTTAGAAAAAAATAAAAAAATTTTTAAATGGAAAAAAATGCAAAAATTTCATCGTTTTTATATGTAATAGAATAATGAAACAAAAATTTATTACTTGCGAAAAAATGTTAGAAACTAATAGCGCGAACATCTTACATATACAAAATCTTAGCAATCTTAGCAATGTTAAAAATGTCATTAATACAACATTTATTAAGGAAAAGTGCAATTTTTAAATATATTAAAACTTAATACTGTTTTATTCCAATTCTGACATGCATCTTCTATATTGTAATAATAATAAACAAACAATTATTAATTATCGTACATACTCAGGTTAACAAAATTAAGATAATATTCAAACAATAAAACTTCAGATAATAAAACAAACAACAACTAAAATTTAATATAAATATAAAAATATAGAAATAATCAACAAGAAGAAAAGTAAAACTTTTTTATACTATTTTATTATAATTAAATACGAACAATTGATATTTATCATACACATATATAAAAAGAGTTTACTCTGACTCAATAATGCAAATGTTTATTTACTATGAAAATTAAATGATATAATTTTCATATAATATTCCAATTGACAAAATGTTATACATTTTCATGTAATAAAATGAAGTTTGTTCTTCCATGTTATATTCTTTCATTTTTACCATCTTTATCATTCTTTACTATCCTTTTAATATATGCTAATATATTATATTAATAAAAAACAAAATAGTTATAAAAATGTTAAGTTTTTTTAGAAAAAAAGTTTGAAAGGACACAATTTTATAATAAGAATATAAAATATAAATTATAAAAAAAAAATATAAAATATAACATTCAAAAAAGTTAAAAACAAAAAAAGAAGATTAAAAACATCAAGATTATTTCAAAGACATTTATATTTTCTGAATACATATTTATATTTTGTTATAAAATTTAATAAATTTAACAAATTAAATTTTGAGCATCATTATATCAATTATATTATTAATATATGTATTTAAAATTAACTCTAATATTTAATTATTTATTTCTTGCATACATATATTTTTGCGATCTTACGCACATCGGAATTTTCGAATTAACAACATTATTTGTTACATTAGTCCAATCATAAGATATATTATTTTTACAATTTATATCGCATATATTATTCTTAAATGATTGTTTATGATAATTATTGATTAATTGATTCGCACGTTCCTTATAAAGAGCAGATTTCAAATTAGCTTCGCTCAATTTTCTACAAATAGTAGAAGGAATACAAGTAGATCGATTACATGTTTCTATTCGTTTACTTATATATTTCTTTCCATAATTCAAATCTGTCATCACAGTTAACGTTTCTTTGTCTGATCTTATTATTGCTTGATTTTCATTGCATTTGATCACTCGAACTAGTATAGGATCTCGTTTTTGAACACCTACGTTTATTTTTTGTCTTATATCTCTTGCTAAGCATGCAGAATCTTTGAACAATTGAGAATCACTTTGAATTTGTATATCACGATAAAACGGTCCATTGATATCAATATCTTTGCAATTCAAATAAGTACAAATATTCTTATCTGCCATTAAAAGCTTTTTTTTCCTGTCCAATATTAATGTTTTGTCAATTGTTTTTTGTTTTTCATCTTGTTTTGTAATCGTAGATCGAAATATTGGTACAAATATTTCTTCAGTCATTATCAGTTTATTGTTACAGATGGTGGAAGTGTCAATTTTTTTTAAACTGGATTTTTTTTTAATTTCTTGGGAAAATGATTTTGTACCTAATTTCTGATAGGATTCTTTCAGTTCATCCTTGATATCATTCAACTCTAACATCATGATATGATTTTTGAGTGCTGATGCCATTTTTGTTGCATTAATTAAACAGTTCTCTTTCGGATAATATTTATATTTACCTGAAATTAACGCTTATATTGCGAAAATTAATAAATTTCTATTGTGTTCCGAATAAATAGTTTTTCAATAAGTTGTGTTTTGAATCATTCGAATTATATGAATAATATAATGATAATATAGGAATTATAGAAATTATATTTTATAATTAAAATTATAATTAAAATTTAACTTATATGAATAAATTTAAATATAATTTTTTCTTTTTGAAAACTAAGATATTAAAAGCACAATAGTAATATACAAGTAGCAATTTTATAAAAAAAAAGATATATATAAAATTATTTGCTTAAAACATATTAATTATAAATTTTTTGTTGAATTATTTGAAATCCGATAAACTTTAAAAATTTGAAAATAATTTGAAAATCTTTGAAAGTTCCTGAATTTTATTTTTTGCTAATAATAATAAAAATTTATATTTTAGATTACGACAATTCTATAACTTACAATCGATTTGTTTGTTTAATTTCTCACATTGCATTTTCTCTTCATATATGAATAATATATTCTGTAAAAGTTGTTGTAAAAGTGACATCACGGAAGGATCTTCTTTACAAAGATGTAATATATTTTGTGGACACGTGTCTATTAAACATGAATCCTCAGATTCTTGTGTTGTTAATTAAAATAATTTTATATTAATACATATAATAAAATATTAATATAAAATATAATATATATTATTTTTATATATCATACAAAATTTTAGAAAAAGTTGCAAAAAAAATATCTAATCGAAATGCTTACTTTTTTTTTTACACAATGTTTCAAATCCATATTTTGAATATATGTCTCAGAATTACATGACTTGGATTGAATTAAAGGTGGAAATTTTTCTTTAGAAACGCATTGTACAAAGTTCGATTTAAATTGTTTACTTCTTTTGTTATACAACCAACATTACGAATTTGGTGCATGGACATAGTAGTTCCAGTTTCTGTCATGTTTTGTAAAGATACATGACAAGTTAAATTTCCTCGTGATACAAAAATAGTAGTTTGTATTCCTTTCGAAATTTGATTCACAATATTTACTAATACTTCTTTTGAGTCTGTAGAATTTTTCCTATATTTGTCAGTTTGATTTTGTTTTTGATCAATTTGATTTAAAGTTTGAAGTGAAACAGATTTTTTTGTTCCATTTGTTATAGAAACTGTATTTTGCACTTCTTTATCAATATAAGTATTAGTCGTGTTAGTATCTATGTCGTTTTTTTTGTATTGATGAGTGTCTTCAGGAGAAACTTGTATTTTTTTCGTAGATGTTTCTAATTCTGCACATTGTATAGATTTCATATTTTGAAAAGCATTTTCTATTGCAAGTGATTTTGATTTTAAAGATTTATTTGGATCTGATAAAATTATTTTTAGATGAGTAGAAGCTTTTATGGTATCAAGCTGCAATTTATTTATCATTATAGGAATATTCATTTGAATTGGTGTTTCTATATCATGTTTTGAACTTTTTTTAGAATCATTACTATATTGTACTTCTGCATTTATGTATGTCTTTGTTTGTTTTTCTTTTATAGATTCTACTGATATTGCTTTAGATTTTGTTATTAAATTTTCATTACATGTATGTTTTGGTAATTCCTGTAAAATTTCGGGATCTCCAGAATAATTCACATCTTTTGTTGAATGATAAATCGATAGATCAGTGTTACCCAGAGGTTGACAAGGCAAATCTAGATAAAATAGATAAATTTAAATTAGCTACATAAATTATATTTCTTATACAATATGTTTCAATAAAAAAGAAATTTCAAATTATCATTTTGTAATTAAAGAGTTAAGTTTAACAAAATTTTCAGATAATTTTCATTTTATAAAAAAATATAAATTAATTTATATGTACTGTCACGTGTAACTTTGTCACATCCAGCACAGCTAGTATAAACTCCAAAAATGTCTTTATTATATCCAGAACAAGAAGTATAATTTTTTTTTGAGTTTTCCTCAATTTCCTTATATTTTATATCTTCCCAACCACATAATGGACATTTTAAAAATGGTGAATCATAATTTTTTGTTAAAGAAGAAATATCATTAAGTTTAGAATCCATTGAAGTTTTTGAAACAAGCTCAGGATATTCTAAAATTATAAAAAAAAAATAACATCTACATTTAATTGTTTTATTTTAAAATAATTTTTTTTACCCGTTACTTCAAACTCGGTATCTCTAGTTGGTCTTAAAAGTGATGGATGATCTTCTTTTCGATCTATTAATAATTATCCTTTGGCCTAAGTTGTGAATAAGGAACATATCTTATTTTTTTTCTTTTATTATTGTATTCAGGTTATTTTTCCTGTGCAAACGAGATGATTTTTCTATCGATTTATTTCTCTGTTCATAAATTTTTTCATTATTAACTCTTTTTATGTTATCACTACTTAAAGATTTGAGAATGTTGATTGTTTCTCGTTGCTGGACTCTTTCCTCGTCTGTGATTACTTTCGCCAACATATCTGCTACTATGTTATACCAAGAAAATGATGATTTATATTCTTGTTGACATTGTTGTAAAGTTTTGATTATTTTCATTTGCTCCACTTTATATCTGTATTTATATATAATAAAAATTTAGTTCTCATAAATAGTGTATATTATTTCTTTTTATATATTTATATATAAATATTTAAAAAATAATTAATTTAAAAATATTTCAAACTCTTCACAATAAATTACTTTTTCACAACAAATACAATTCATATATTTTTATTACTTATGTTTTATGTTATTTTTTAAAATTTAGATTAAATATAATTTTTTATTTCCAAAATCATCAGAAGATTACAATAATCCTTATATTTAAATTAATATATAAAAAAAATAACATATAACATATAAAAAAAATTTGTCATGTATTCTTTTTTTTTTACAAATGGCTTAATGAATTTAATTAAAAACAATAAATATTTTAATTTAAATCATGATATAGATCATAAATGAAAGAATCTGTACATTTTTTTTGTCATTCAATAATATGAATTATGATTATTATACAGGATATTAATATATGTGAAATATTTTTGGATAGAATTAAGAATAGATTTTAAAGATCGATACAGAAATTAGTATACAAAAATATTAATTGAAATTTATTTATAAATCATAAGCAATTTGAATTTATATTAGGAAAATGATATCATGATATCATTCGCCATTTCGTTTTGTTTCCATTTGATTATATTTAAAATGTTTATAACTTAATAAATAAGTTTCAACCAATATTTCTTTATACCAATTTTTATGTTTTTTTGATCTCTAGAATCGATTCTCCAAAGAGATTCCAAGAATATATTAACATCTTGTATAATCATTTTATTATTATAAAAACAAATTACACTCGATCATAATATTTTTTGTTTTCTCGCTTATCTCTTCCACAATATTCATTACCAAAAATTCCGATCGTACATTACTTTTCTCTTATACTCTTGATTTGGTGCAAATAATCAATTACAGTAAAGCCAGGTATATTGAGGTCATCGATTATTTTTTGAAATGCCTTATTCTTCTCGTAACAATTATAATAATCCTTATGATAAGGGTTCCAGAGACATGGATATTGCTTGTATTCTTCTAAAAAATTAATCACTAATTTCTCGTTCCATTTGCATGACATTTTGTAATAAGAATATTTTTATCAACAAATTTTAATACGATATTACTGAAAAAACAGTGTTTAATAATTTTATGTATGTTTATAATTTTAAATCTATCCACATAATAAAGTCAATTTTGGTTAAAGAATACAACTGAATTTGATCGCGCGATACATCGAACGAAAGCATTTGTCAAATTATTTTATATTATTTTATTAACTTTCTTTTTGCAATTCTATGAATTAACATTATGAATCAACGTTATGTTTTACTTATTATATCTTTCGATAGATTTTTTTTTAATTACTAGACAAATATAGATAATTCGTAAATTTTTATTTCCATTGTTTACAATCGAATTCATAAGAAGAATCGGTCTTAATTTTTATAACTGGAAGACCGCAGCTACAAGTAATTTCCTTATGTAATAGTGTACATTCACTACAAGTTGAAGATGTATAACAATCCAAATATCTCGATTTCATATTATCCAGACGTTCTTGAGTAATTAGGTCTTGTATATGTTTCTCTAATTTAATAGCAACTTCTAAAAATAAATTATATATCACTTTAATAATTATTTTTATAATATATCAATGTTAATATTCACCAAAACTTATATTTCGCAATTGAAACGCAATACTCTTGCCGAACATGTCAAACTCATCAATTTTCCTTGCTTCTTTAATATCATTTTCTGCCAAAATATAATCTATACAACCAATATCCTTCTGAAAATTATTTTCTGTATTTAATTTAATTTGTAAATTCTTTAAATTGGATATTTAGACAGAACTTATACATTTATTTTCAGATCTAAGAATAAAATTTTTGATCTAACAATAAAAATCTATTTACCGGATCATTTTTCATCATTATAGTCATCAGATTCGCAGTGTTAGATATTTCATTTTCTGTACACACTTGGCAAGTTGTACATGCAGTTTTGAAATAAGAGATTTCAGTTTGGGTTGCATGTTCTGTATTGATATTTTTCTTGGTATTATTAGCAACATCATTTCGAGCTATTTTTTGCGTATATAAATAATTTTTGCAATCTGTAGGTTCTTTATGTTCATCCGGGATAAAAAATGACTTTTCTAGTTTTCTAAAAGTGGAAAAATTTTAATATATTTCATTATAATATATTAATATTATTGTTATTAATAATATACTCATATAATACATATATATACATATACATAATAAATAATATAAGTTACTTGATACGAGTACGAGGTTTAATTATATTCGATTTATCACAATAACAAGTTGCATATGAATAATTGTAATCCTTATTTAATACTTTTTGTTCTACAGAATTTGAACGTATTCTGTATTGATCGCATATTTCGTCACAGTAGTTTTTAAATGTGTCTTTTTTATCATCATACTTCTAAATATGACAAGTTAATTGTTTTGGTAAATAAATAAAATTCTTATAATATATTTTGTTATAATTGAGTAATATACACCTCACAAGTATCACTATAAGTTGCTATAAATGGAAAGAATAATTGATGTACTATTGGAAACCAGCTCATTGTTGGACTGTAAAACTTCTCACAAGATATCGCAGCACTAATTTTAGACAATTCATAACAATATTGAGCTTTTACATAAGTAATTCTTTTGATACAATCACAAACTGTTAAACCACAAACGTTCATAGAATTCACGATCTCTTTGTAAGCTTTGTAACGACATAGTTTATTTCTAAAATTTGGGTGAAAAGGATTTCTTAAACACTCGTGTTTACTATAAAGAGTTACTAATCTCAATGTTAAACTTTCAGTCCATGCAATTGGCATGATAAATTATTTTGATCATTTGCAGCATAATCAGGTTATTTAATCCTTCACTTGTATTGATGCCACAATTTACATATCGTAAAAGCTTTGTGTTCACATCTTGAACTCATACGAAAATTCTTAGCGAGAATTTGTGTGCTGAAAGAATGCGATGAGCGAATTGCGTTTAGATTATACATTATATAAGACAGGTTAAAAAAATTATTAAAATTTAGAGAAATATATATGAAAAAAAAAAAAAGAAATGAAAGAATAGATGAAATATATAGTTTCCTAAACTATTGTTTTTTTCATAAATGTATACATAATAAAATAATAAAATGAAAAATTCATAACATAACACGAATAACAAGCAACATACAAAGATCAAAAAATTTATTTAGGCATATTTGTTATTAAAAGCATTATTATAACATATCTTAACAGATTAAATTATTTTAAATTACTTTTGTGTGAAAAAAAGAATTATTTTTAACCATGAATTCAATGCAATATGTTTTGTGTTACAGACTAGAACCAGTAGTAAATAGAATAGAACAAAATCTAATACTTTGAAGCTAAATTTTTATAACTTATTTTTATCAATTTGTTTTTAGTATTATGATTTAATTATTTATTATCAAAATACTATTAAGTATTTTGATTTTATGAAAAATATTATTTTAAATTTTAATTAGACTGGATTATTAAAGTGCACTTGTAGCTTCAAAGTATCCAAACATGTGAATATATGATTCATATACAATTATGAATATGTATAATTTATCATATATTCAATAATTTTATATTCTAAATTAATATACTCAACGTGAAAAATATTAGCATTTCTTGTACATTGTCATTAACAAAAATATACATTTTGCCTCTAATACAAATAAATTTGTATGATTAACTGTTTCTTATCATATTATATACAATAATTTTTTGTATATAACATACATATTTGTTTTAATTATTAATTATTAATATTATCTTACTATACTATCTTACTTATCTTAATATATTATTTATGCTATCAACATAATCTTACGAAGTAGACTCAATACCCGAAGCTATTGTAGGTAATTGTTGAGGTACAAAATTTATAACTTCATGATAAACAAGTTCTAAAAAGAATAAAAATTAATTATTATACTATCAATATATCACTAATTAAAATTGTATTAAAATAATAAAACGAACCTTTCCATTTTTCAACAGGTAAATCCATGTCTTCAAAACTTTGATCATAAGGTAAAGATACTGGTTCATCAGTTGGATCAGCATATTGTGCAAGATATGGATGAGCTAAAGCTTGTTCTGCTGTAATGCGTTTTTCAGCATCTAATTCTAACATTAATTCAAGTAAATCTATAGCTAGAAAGTAATATAAAGATATGTTTATTTAATATATAAATATATATAAATGTACATAATATATAAATATTTAAAATAATTTTTACAATAAAAATAATTCTTACATAATTTACAAGATTTAATTTATATAATGATTACCTAAAGGATTAGCTCCGCGGAAAACGTCTTTGAAATTCTTCTTTTTAAGCGGAGATAAACTTTGTATATAGTTTCTTGCCTAAAACAATAAATTTTTTTTATTACATTCCAATTTTTAAATAATTTATATATTGTATTAATATTTGAAATTTATATAAATTTTCTAAAAATTATGTATAAAATAAATTATAAATAAATTATACTATTTTTTTTATTATTAATTTCATTAATAATAATTCATTTATTTGTTTATATAGAATATAATATAAAAAACTTAAAGCAAAATCATATTATACATTAAATTATTTTAATATTGTGGTAATATTGTGGTAAAAAATGTAAATAAATTATGATAAAAAAATTTAGATTCATAGAAAAAATGATCAAAGAAATAGCTAAAGAACTTGACAAAAAATATTGATAAAAAAATTACCTCTTGGCTGGTAATTTTGCTTAAAGTTTCCTCTGTGGGTGTTCCACAGAGTACTAAAACTCGTGTTAGATGATCAATGTCTGCTTAAAGTTAAGGTATGTTTAAAGCATAATTTATATTATATAGAAAGAATGGTAAAAATTCGAATATAAAATGAATTAAATTTATATTTATTTTAAGCACTTATTAGCATTTGAAAAAAAATACACACACACGCGCACGCGCACGCGCGTGCACAATATATATATATTATACACACAAAAAAATTCATAAATATTATAAAAATTGTCTTATTTTAGTCATGAAATTTATTAATCAAAAAAATATAAATTAGTAAAAAATATATAACATGCATGTAAATCGCAAAACATTATAAGTGAGCAACATGCATTATTTATGCTTTTCTCTTTTTCTATTTTTAATTATATAATAAAAATTACTTACCGATTCTGACGATATTTTTTGCATAAATTCGTCTCGTGGAGTACCCAGTATCTCCATTATTAAGTTCAGTTGATGAATATCTGCTCTTGCTAAGGTTCCACCACACCTTTTTCTACTTTCACTAAATATTTTGATTATTAAATAAGTATAATAAATAATATAATTTCATGCATTATTGTCTGCGAATATGAAATAGGAACATAACAACATGTATGGCTTTTTGTATTTATATAAAATTTCCCTCACTTTTAAACAAAAGCTAAATTAAAGCATTTTTTGTCAGCTGGCAAATAAAATATGATGTAATTAATATATTAGTAAAATAATTAAAAATATTAAAGCAAGAAAGAAGCTATGTAGACCCTTAGCAAAAAGCATATTTTTTAATTCTGATGATCAAAAATAGTTAAAGATTTGTAATATTTATTAAACAATTATAGATTTGTGTATATTAGTATAATTAATTAAATAAAAACAATAAACATTAATTTTGATTATTAAATATTAATATTCAAAGAGATTAAAAAGCAGTTATAAAAAGGATACGATCTGTTCCCGGAAATAACGTTCGCCCTGTTAATAGTTCAGCCATTATACATCCAACAGACCAAATATCAACTAAAAAGTATAAATATTGTATTATTATATATTAAAAACAAATTAAAAAATAAAAAAAAATATATACCTGTTTGATTGTAATGCATCCAATTGAGCATAATTTCTGGAGCTCTATACCACCTTGTAGCAACATAACCAGTCATTTCATTTTCTGTAGGCCTAGCCAATCCAAAATCTAAAATTTTGAGCTCACAATCCTCATTTACAGCTATATTAGAAGGCTTCAAATCCTATATTTATAAATAATATATATTTAAAAGTATTCTTTATCATATTTAAATTGTTAGTATCATTTGATATTGTAAAGTAAGGTATTACTTTACCCTATGTATTATACCCGCGGAATGAATATATTTGAGACCGCGAAAAATTTGATAAACAAGAAACTGTACATGATCATCAGAAAGTTTTTGAGTTCTTACAATATTATTGAGATCTGCACCCATCAGATGCGTCACTAAATATCTATTAAAAGTATATGTCATTACTAAAACATGATAAGGAGTCATAATCAAGGGATTGAAGAGATATAAATAAAATTATAACAAAATATAAAATGAAATACTTACACTTGTTGAAAATCTTCTAAAGAAGAAGATGGATGAAAAACATCTAATAAACCAATTATCTGTAATTAATTATATGATTCTTTATTATAAAACTTATAAATTATAAATCTTTATAAGTTGATAATAATGTAATAAAATTTATTATAGAACATAATTATTTTTAAATCTAATTTCAAGACAAAGTCTACTATTCTACTGTGCCAACTTCAAAAATACATTATATGTATATATACATTATTCATATTTCTATACTCACATTTTCATGATTCATATGCTTCAACATACGAAGTTCTCTATAAGTGCGTTTTGCATGTACAGCTGATTGGAATGGCCTGGCTAATTTTTTTATTGCTACTTTTTGACCAGTTTTTGTATCAAGTGCTGAACTGAAAAATTATACACACATATATATATATATTATAATTTACTTATACACTTATAATTACTTATAAATTAAGATATTTAAATTTAATAAAAAAATAAATATTCTGATTTTTTTTTATAATTCATTTTTTTCTCAATAATTAAAAAATTAAATAATTATTATTGAGTGTTAATATAAATTTTAATATAAATGTTTATTTGATAATTTATATTATAAAATATTTTAGATATAAATAAATAAAAGTACAAAATATTTTGTAAAAATATTTGAATAATATCTCTCATCTAATTCATATTCGTGGACAAATATTGACAAATATTTCTAATTTTAGTTTGATTACAATATAGAATACAATGGTACATGAAATATTTGCTGCAATAATAATTTTTATTTTAATTACAAAAAAAAAAGTTGTAATTTCAAACGGTATAATCAATAATAGAAATGTCAAGGTTATGATTAATTCATAGTTGTAACTAAATTTTGAATTATTAATAAGATAAAATCAAATTATTTAAAATTATAAATATTTGTTTAAATAGAGAATAATCGAAAAAAATATTTGAAATTAGATTATTGTTTAGATTTTATATCATTAGAATTATTTTCTTCCTTTACCACACTTGTCCATAAGCTCCCGATCCTACTGGCGTTAACATTTGATATCGTTCCGGAACCTCCCATTCGGTCCTATTTATTTCGACTTTATGAAACTGCGACATACTACATACAATTGTTCACTTAAACCGCTTAACGAAATACTATACGAATACGAAAAAAATCACATACACTCTGTACTAAAGTTTGGAATTGTATTTTACAAACACTTTGTACATTTCTAAATTAGCTCACTATTAAAAACTACTACATCCATCGTATATCGTACATAAGACTATTATCCCTCGATATTTAATCGATTAGTTAATCGATATTATATTGAAATTTTTAACGAGTAATCGATTCATTTTTCTCGATATTTTTTCATCGATTATACAAAAAATAATAAAATAAGATATATTATCATATTTTTTTGAATTATTAGAATTCATAAGATATTTATTATTTTATTTTCAAATTAAATACTTTAAAAGTCATGAAAACAACATTATTCATAAATTCATAATACAAGATTCTATTAAAGATTATAATTTATGAATATTATTATTTATAATAAAAGATATTTTATTTATATAATAATAAAATTATTTTCATTATATTGTTCATTAAAGTAATAAAATTAATAATCTACAAATATTTAATAAATGATTTAAAAATGTATTATAATAAAAATTTAATTTATAGATACATACCTTATCTATATAATAATATTCATTAATATACATAAATTAAATAAAAATCAATATTTTTCAATATTTTTCAATATATGATATACATGATATATTAATATCAAATAATATTTATAATGATATTTATTTTTCTTCAATATTATATACAAGTTATTTTTATTTTTATATATTCAATAGAACATAGTAGTTCATGACTCATGACATAATTTCATTGTGTCAGTCTCTTCCTTGTCTAATTTGCGATATTAGTATATGACGTGTTAAAATTTAGAATCGCTGGTTTTTGTGACATTTTTGTAATGAATATGAGTATAAATGACGGAGAAGTAATTGAATACGAACCTTCGGTTAAAAATGTAATCGAACAACAATCTTTGCGATGGATATTTGTCGGAGGTAAAGGTGGAGTTGGCAAAACGACGTGCAGGTATTATTATAACCTTTAAAACTCGTTTGTTTATAATATATCGATCACTATTTTCTTTGTATTAATTTTTAGTTGTTCTTTGGCCGTACAATTGTCAAAAGTTAGAGAAAATGTCCTTATCATATCTACTGATCCCGCACATAATATCTCCGATGCATTTGACCAAAAATTTAGTAAAGTTCCGACAAAAGTAAAAGGTTTCGATAATCTTTTTGCTATGGAATAGATCCAAATGTAGGTATTACCGAATTGCCGGAGGAATATTTTGAAAGTGAAGCAGGTATTTTATAAATGTTGAATTTTTAAATTTCATTTTTAATTTATATAATGACGTTTTTAGTTTGATAAATGAATTTAAATTTATATATATTGTACAAAATAGTTTCAGGAGGAGAAGCAATGAGATTAAGTAGAAGTGTAATGCAAGAAATTGTAGGAGCATTTCCAGGTATAGATGAAGCAATGAGTTATGCAGAAGTAATGAAGTTAGTAATGAATTATTTGAATATTTAATATATATGTAATATTTGTTTGATACGCATTTATATTTTCAGATTGGTTAAGGGAATGAATTTTTCTGTTGTTGTTTTTGATACTGCACCTACTGGTCATACTTTAAGATTATTATCATTTCCACAAGTTGTAGAAAAAGGTTTGGGTAAATTAATGCGTTTAAAAATGAAGATTAGTCCTTTCATTACACAGGTTAGAAAAATTTAAGAGAATATATATCATTTAAACTATTAATTCTAATTTCAAATGTATTTAATTACAGATTAGTTCATTATTGGGCATGACAGATTTCAATGTAGACACATTTTGTAATAAAATAGAAGAAATGCTCATTGTCATTCGACAAGTTAATGAACAATTTAAAAATCCTGATCAAACAACATTTGTTTGTGTATGTATAGCAGAATTTTTATCATTATATGAAACAGAAAGACTTGTACAGGAATTAACAAAATGTGGTATAGATACTCATAACATTATAGTAAATCAGTTATTGTTCTTGAAAGAAGGAGATGTACCATGTAGACTTTGTCTTGCTAGGCATAAAATACAAGATAAATATTTAGAACAGGTAATTTAAAATATTATAATTTAATATAAATTTTGAAATTCTAGAAATTAATAAGTTTTTTTTTTTAGATAATGGATCTTTATGAGGATTTTCATATTACTCGACTTCCTTTATTAGAAAGAGAAGTTCGAGGAGTTCAACAAGTTAAAGAATTTTCGGAAAATCTTATTAAGCCCTATAAGCCTTAACGCTTATATGATTAATCTTTCTTATCTTTAATATATAATTAAAAATTCTTTAAATTAAACAAATTTTATACATATGATAAAATTCATATAAAAAAAGATAATGTTTTTATTATAATATTTAGCAAGGATATTTTATCTTTGCATTATTAAAAGTTTCAGTTGATGTATTAAATATATTAAACAGTACTTGATTAATTATATTATTGTATTTTTATTTATTTATTTATTTTTATTACCATCAATTTGATTAAATACTTATAAGAAAAAATATAACTTTAATAGAATTTCTTAAAAGAAAAAAAATATTATTTAATAATTTTAAGTTCTTTTCCAACATGTATAAAGGTGTTTATAGCTTGCTTTATATCATCTTGTGAATGTGCAGCACTAATCTGAACACGTATTCGTGCTTTATTTTTTGGTACAACGGGATAACTAAAACCAATAACATAAATTCCTTGTTCTATAAAAAATAAATAATTATTATATAATACATATTAAGAAAAATTACATATTAAGAAAAATATTATGAAATATATCATAAATATTTACCAATCATTTTATCAGCAAATTCACTTGCCAACTTTGCATCACCTATCATAACAGGACAAATAGGATGATTATCACCACTAATTGTAAAACCTGCTGTTTTCATATTACTTCTAAATAGGTTAGTATTATTTTTTAAACGATTCAGAAGTTCTGTAGAATTTGTTATTAAATCCATGACCTATATAATATTTAAAAAACAATAATTTGAAATTAAGTTTTTGTTAATTTTTTTATTTTTTTACCTTTCTTATTGTTATTTATAAATTTAAGAAATGTGAAAAATTATCATATTTTTAATATACCTTACTTGCTGATGCAACTACAGAAGGTGGCAATGAATTTGAAAATAAATATGGTCTGCTACGTTGTTTTAATAAATTAATTAATTCTTTTTTACCAGTTGTATAACCACCTGCTGCTCCACCAAGAGCTTTACCCAATGTGGAATTAATAATATCAATACTTCCCAATTGATTAAAATAATCTTCTGTACCTCTACAAAGAAATTACTAAATAATATTAAAATATACTTTATTAAATTAATTGATTAAAAATGTAATTTTTGATTATAGTTAATGTATTATTACTTCTAGTAATATTTTTTGAAAAAAATTTAAATCAAAAGATTTAGAAAGACAATAATTTATATTTATAATAAAAAAACAATTGTTCATTAATGATAATTCAATGTAATACATATCAAAATACTACCTTCCCATTTTTCCAAAAAATCCAGTAGCATGACAATCATCCACAAAAGTAAGAGCATTATATTTCTTTGCAAGTTCTAATATTTTTGGTAATGGTGCGACAGTACCATCCATAGAAAAGACACCATCAGTTGCAATTAGTCGTAAACGTGAAGACATATTTTCTTGTAGTTTATTTTCTAAATCCACCATGTTCCTATGTTTGTATCTTCATAAAATGTTATATATTTTTACATAAAATAAAAAATATAAAATGTAATAATTTTATGCATAAAATGATTTTGCATAATGTATTGCATTATGCATAAAATATATGCTTTACATACCTATATTTTTTTGCTTTACATAATCTAATACCATCAATAATGGAAGCATGATTGAACTCATCACTTAAAATAGTATCTTCAGATGTTAAAAATGTTTCAAATAGCCCAGCATTTGCATCAAAACAAGATGCATAGAGAATAGTATCTTCTCTATTATGAAATTGAGCAATTTTCTTTTCTAATTCTACATGAATTGTTTGTGTACCACATATAAATCTTACAGAACTTAAACCTGCTCCATATTTGTCTAGAGCAAATTTAGCAGCAGAAATGACTTCTTTATTATCCTAAATTTCAAAAATGAAAAATATAATAAATGAAAATATTATAAAAAATAATTTTATACTCTAATACTTACTGATAAACCTAAATAATTATTTGCGCAAAAATTTAGAGCTTCTGTTCCATTTGCGAGTATAATTCGTGTTCGTTGAGGCGAAGCAATTATTCGTTCTTTTTTCCAAGTACCAGTTGCTTTTATAATTTTTAATTCTGGTATTATACATTCTGTCAAAAGACTCATAAATCTTAATATCCATTTATTTCTAAATTTTAAATCTGTAAAAATGAACATTTAAAAATAATGTTTAATATTAACAAATATTATTAAAATCTAATAAAAATAAAATACTTTTCTCAAAAATAGAATTCATATTTTGATATATTTTACAATTCATTAGGATATTGAATGATATTTGATTCTGAATAACTGAAAGTATAATAAACTAGTCAAACCAGTTAGCTGCATAGTAATTATTTATTTTCTTTGCATATTTTTCATATAAAATGATATATAACATTCTATATTGAAAAAATATATTGCTGTGTTGCTAATATATACTAAAAAATATATTAAATAAAATTTAATAAAATGACTTAGTACTTACTTTTAATATTTAAGTGTAAAAGAATAAAAGCCAATAATTATTTTCATCATGTTTATTTTACAAGCTTTTTACATTTCGTTCTTATAATTGCATTAAATAATAAATCAATAAGTATTTGTTATATTATTTAGCACTCAAATAGTTTATTTTCTAAATTTTCTTTATCTAAATAACATGTTTATAATACTAATATTTGGCAAATATTCATTCATATTTTCTAACAAGAAAAATTTTAAAAACATTTGTTTTGTTACATAACACTATCTGTATTATAGAATTAGTTTAATTTATATATATACTCAATATTATAATAAGAATATTATACACTATTGTAGATATGATGATAATCATTAAACAAACTATTTGTATTTAATTAAAACTAGCATTCTAGTATTCTATACACTTGGAATTATTATTTTTATCATTAAATACGTTAAACATTCTGTATTTGCTAAAATTTGCCAGTCTTTTGAGTTATAAATTGCATTTTGAAATCTCACTATTTGGTCTGTTATTACTTGGTCTTGATTATTATTCTTATATAATAATTTATTTTAAAACGAGAAATGTTTTTTCTAAATAAGTTTGCTATATGCATTATTTTTATTCAAAAAAGTATATATGTGAACGAAAATTCAAGTTGAAATTAAGGAACTATGTAACATTTATAGTTTTAGAGATACAACATGTAGATGATCTTTAATTCAAGATTAATATGAGCAAAAATTAATATATATAGTTTTGTTTGATGCTTATACCTATTATATTATATTATATTATATTATATTATATTATATTCATTAAAAAATATTTAGCGAATTTTTACAATATAACAGAAAACATTGAAATATTAACGTAATTTCACGACGATTTATTCTTTGTGGAAAAACGAGTTGCCAAAAAATATGCCCGTGGGAAATTGTGCACAATTACATAAATAATTCCCAGATATATAATTATGGCAATTGTAAGAAAAAGATCGAATACAGCTGGTTTTACGCTGGAATATAATAAATTATATCATTTTATACTTAAAATACAAATAAATAAATATATATATATATCTTATACAAAAGAATATCTATATATATATATATATATATCTTATACAAAAGAATATATAGATAATAACGAACAAAATTATAAAATTTACCTGTATACATTTAATATTGCTTTTGTAACATCATAAAATACAAATTCTGGATCTTGTTTGTCAGGACTATGCAATGTAATTTTAACATCTCCAAGATATCTAGTCATTGCTTCTCTCAATGTGTTAACTAACATATTATTTTTATCTGCCAATAACGGAGCAGCTCTTGGTTGCGATGCTAAATAACTAAACCATAAAGATAATGATTCCTTAGAAACATCCTAAAAAAATAAAATATACTGAATAAAATATTAATTTATTTTCTTATTGCTTAAATAAAAAATATATACCAGAGGATTGACAAAAATTTGACTGGAACTTAAATTGTACATATGTCTTGCTAATGCTTCTGCAATTACTTGAGTATGTTTATATAGTTTATCTATTTGTTTCATTTGCATTACATCTAAGATTGTTGTTCTAATTGGATCTTCATGACTTTTTAAAGTAGACAAAGTTGTAGCTGGTAATCTACGAATGCTGTATCTTTCATGTTCCCAAGCTAGCGTTTCTTCAGCTAAATTAATTTTTTTATGTACACCTTCAACAGTAGTGATATTTAATAACTCAGATACAGTTTTAAGTTCTTTGTAAAAAAGACCACCCGTGGAATTTTCTTTAGGTGGTTTTGACACATGCACATAAAAATTATCACTAGTAGATACTGTGTCAAGACAAATGACATAAGCTGCATCCTAACATATTAAAAAAAAAAATAATAATAATAATATATCATATTTCTATTTAAAATTATTATAAAAGAGATATAATAGAGATATTTAAACATTAAGAAATATAATATACAATACTTGTATTATTGAGCCTTCAAGTCCATCTAATTGATCTTCCAACCATTTTTTGCTACCTTGATAATTAAGTTTACCAGCACCAGTTACAATAAAAACAAGATTATATTGTGGTCTTGATCTGCTAGTAGAATATAAGATAGAAAACAATCGTGCTATTTCTAATAACATTGCTACTCCAGATGCATTGCTATCTGCACCAAAAGACATTTCCTATATTAAAAATAACACATATATAAACATCTTGTTTTCAAAATTATATTATAATTATATTAGTAATTATATATGTAAAAAATTTATATCAATAGTTTACGTACAGGTGCAACACCAGCACTATCATAATGTGTTACTAAAGCTATGGTTGGTAATTTTTCTTCAGCTCCATTACCAGTTAATTTTCCATGCAAAGTAGCTATTTTAACATCTGTTTTAGCTAATGCTTGTCCAGTTGCTACAACTACTTGATAACCACTAGCAGATATAGAATTGAACATTGCTTCAGCTGCAGAATTAGCTTTTTCATCAGTAATAAAACCATTAGAAAGATCATCTAAGATTGCCTGTAAATCTGGATGCCAAGAAGTAAAATATACTGGAATTGTTGTTTCTGGTCCAAACAGCATAGATTCTTCTAGATTCATAATATGCTATAAACAAAAAACAAATGCAAAGCTATGAAAATTTAACTTCATTGATTTTATTAAAATTTATAAAGAATAAATTTAATCAACCTGTTTTTCTTCCAATGTTAATTCAGTGAGTTTCTCTGGTAAAACTACTATCAAAGCTCCAGCTTTATGTTTAATAGAATGAAACAAACTAGGAGTAAGACTTAAAGCTTTTGTAACTACACAGTGCCTAGATGTGCTCCATCCTGTAAGAGATCTTGCTTCCAGAGAAATAGGAGCATTACGACAACCTGTATATAATTATGAAAATTATATAAATTAAGCATCAATAAAATCATAATAAAATGAAAATAAAAAAACACTATTTCTTTACCGTGTGGTACACCATGCAAGTCATACTGGTGCATTCGGTACACGGGAAATTCATGAGATGCTGCAACTGGGTTAACTGGAGAGATAATAATAAAAATTGGTAGAATTATTAGTAAATAATATGGTAAATAGCCTCGACATAGTTCAGCAAAACCATCACATTCTTCTAGCCACATATTTCTTTTTGATTTTACTTAAATATATTTAATAGTGTAAAAATGTAATTCTTAATTATTCTCTTTGATCTATCACCACGCGATAATCCATTCTTTAACTAGTAACGCCATCTCTTCAAAAAATGGTTAAACTTATCATACATTATTATCGATAACGAAGTGAATTTATTAATAGCTTTTAGTATTATGTCTTTGGGAACATTGAAACTTTTTTATATATTCTGTATCTCGTTTGTGATGAAGTTAACCAAAAGTTAAATAAAGTTGAGTTTTGCAGTTAGCACTTAATCTATCTTGTGGATATTTTATGCTATTATATTAAAAATGCAATTTTTATGCATATTGTGAATTGTAAATTATCTTTAAACAATAAATTTTTGTAAATAAAATATTAAATAATAATATATAGCTATGGGTGATAAAAGACAACAAAATTTATCGGTATGTATTCAAATGTTAATATATATTTATAATGATTTTTTATTATATATATTATATATTATATTATATTATATTATATTATATTATATTATATATATATTATATTATATATTATATATTATATTATATTATATTATATATATATATATATTAGAGAAAGATGATTTAAATTTAATATTGAAAATTTTTAACTTTATAATCTTTTAGTTTATATATAAAATCTTTAAAATAAATTTCTATTTAATATTTTATTAAAAAAACTATTCATTAAATATTTAAGATAGAGTTTAAAATAAATATACTTTATTTTTTTTTTCTTAATTTATTTTTAAATTACAAAATAAAAGTTTTATTTTATAGAAAGAAGAAATAGCAAAACAATTTATGCTACCAGAGAGAAAAAGTAAGATTGCTACATTATTAAAACAGGATGGTCAAGCATATTGTATTTGCAGAAGTTCTGACAGTTCACGTTTCATGATGTAAAATATGAAGTATAATTATGATATAAATTATTTATTTTATTTATTGATGTTAAATAAAATTTATATGAATTTTAGAGGATGTGATGCATGTGAAGAATGGTATCATGGTGATTGTATAAACATAACAGAAAAAGATGCTAAGCATATAAAACAATTCTTCTGTATTGTAAGAATATTGTATTTTTTTGTAATTTAATTTGTTCAAATGTTATATATATTAATTAAGTATATATTTTAGCGCTGCAGAGATGAAGATCCAACTCTAATAACACGTTATAAACCTCGACGAACGGAACCAGAAGATCGTAAATACAAGAAACATAAAGAGAAAGAAAGAGCACATAGATATGAGTATGATGCACCTTGGGATCCTACAGCAGTAAAAAAATCATCGAAACGTTGTGGAGAATGTACAGGTTGTTTAAGAAATGAAAATTGTGGAAAATGTGATGCATGCAGGTAATCTCAATATTAATAAATAATAATATAATAAATAAAATAATTTAAAATTTCTTTTTTCTTTATTGATTATTATTTAATCTTTAGACATTTGAAAAAATTTGGACCTTCAGTTAGATTAAAACTTAGATGTATACAAAGAACTTGTAGAGTATTAGGGGATCCTTTGAAACCATCAAAAAATTTCAATAAAAGTTCTAAATTTATCAAAAAACGAAAAAGAGATTCTAGCAATGAAAGGAATGAGCTTTTGGAAGTACCAAGACACTGTTATGGACCTGCTTGTACAAAACAATCTCGACCAGGTAGTAAATATTGCTCTGATGAATGTGGATTGAAATTAGCAACTAACAGAATTTATCAAGTATTACCTCAACGGATACAAGAATGGTCATTGACACCATGCATTGCTGAGCAAAATAATAGAAGACAATTAGAAACAGTTAGGAAACAACAACAAGATGTACGAAGAATACTTCAAGAATTAGATAAAAGACATTCAGAGCTAGATAAAATTGTTGAACGTGCAAAACATGCAACAATTGATCCTCAGACTGAAGTAGATGATAATGATGATACAGAAATGAGCATGTATTGTATTACTTGTGGTCATGAAATTCATTCGAGAACTGCTATTAAACATATGGAGAAATGCTTCAATAAGGTAAATTAAAAATATTATACAATTCTTTAGTCATTTTATTAAAAATTAAATCAAATACATTATTTTTTTAGTATGAATCTCAAGCTTCATTTGGTTCAATCTTCAAAACTCGTATTGAAGGACAAGTAATGTTCTGTGATTTTTATAATCCTGCAAATCGAACTTATTGTAAGAGATTAAGAGTTCTTTGCCCTGAACATTGTAAAGATCCAAAGATAAGTGAAACTGAAGTTTGTGGTTGTCCATTAGTTACAAATGTATTTGATATGACTGGTGAATTCTGTCGAGCACCAAAAAAAAGTTGTGTAAAGCATTATGTTTGGGAAAAATTAAGGCGAGCAGAAATTGATATGGAGAGAGTGAGACAGTGGTTAAAAATAGACGAATTAGTAGAACAAGAGAGACAAATAAGAGCAAATATGGCTACACGTGCTGGTGTTTTAGCTTTAATGCTTCATTCTACATATAATCATGAATTAATGGAACAAATGACACAAGAACAAAATAGAGAACAATTGGAAGCTATGGAAGAGGAACTACAGCGAAGATATGGCTTGCTCCAAAAAGAGCAAACTACAGAACAATGATTATTTTTATTAATGGTAACTATGTCGAATTTTTTAACATATCTTTTAACGTGTTCAATATTATATTTACTTCAATATATTGTATATTAGTGACAGAGTAAAAATTAAAAATTTGATGGATAATGTCCGTGTTAGAAATGATTTTATTATAATAAATTATGAATTTGTAAAATAAGTATTACTAAGAATTGTAAAAGAATTTCTTTTTAATGAATTACAAAATATGATTAGTTAATTTTTGAAATTTAGTTATAAAAGTAGAGATTGTGTAATGAAAAAAAGATTCTTAGATTAAAAACATTAGAAATATAAAATTGAGATATTGTTTTGTGAAATTTTTACTAATAATATAATTATTTCATTTACCAATGATTTACAGATTCGAAAAGGGCATTACAAAAAAAAAATTGCGAAAAATAGCAAAAATCGTTTTTGGCTCGACTTTGTATAATTATGTATTTTTCTTTATTTATAACGTTCAATTAAACTTTTGTAAATTCAAATTTATAATATAATTTTTCAGTATCTATTTTAGTGTTCACAATATATCATTTCACATTATATGACTGCACATGTGAAATAAATCAGTAACTCGTTATATGAAACATAATTCCAACGTTTCTAAAATTTACCACACTTTAACTTCAATAAATATATTACTTGCTTAATTTTAACCAGTTAAGTTCCGACTCGTCGCTAGAAAGGATACTCTCTCAAAATACTTTTGAATTACAATAAGTTCCAATCATAACATAAAATATTACATATTCTGATACAGTACAACCTTTCAGTTTTATGCTGTATATACATATAGATATATATGTATATATATTTTAAATATCTATGACACACATATATTCTGAATATATGTGTGTGTGTGTGTGTGTGTGTATATATATATATATATGCACACGTTATATTTTTTCTGTATCTTTTTCGTTTAGTATGTATTTGAGGCAAATTGTGAACTAAAATGCACACTCTCATTTCCCCTCTGCATCAATAACCCATTGGAATAACACAATGGAATAAATTCGAATATTTTTAAAAATGTTGATGAAACTCTATGAAAAACTAACTTAATATATTTAGCATATGTCAAATATTGCACTCAATATATTTGCAAAAAACAATCTATATAACTTTTAGGACTCTTATTTGAAAACAAAAACTTATTTACCAAAATTGAATTCTTTAATTTCTTTTATCATTTTCTTCGTTCAGCAATAAATTAGTATTATAACACAATTTTCATTCTTTTCATTAATTTTCAGCATAACTTCTGTTTTAACGAGTTTGAGTTAATAATTTTTATCCGTTTTCTTTTTCTTTT